CTTGTTTTTCTAAAAAACAAAAACAAAACCTAGCAAACTTTCAAAAATAATTCTTATTCGATTTGCTTATTCTGTCGTTGATTTTTAAACTTTAGACTTTTCTCCCCAGCAGTTTCAGGTTCACAACAAAATCGAGCTCCAGGCAAACGTAGCCTATGTGCCACATTATCAACAGCCCTTTCTAAGGTGATGGGTAGTTATAATGGCAAGCCCACATGGGCACATCATTATTCCCCTAAGGTGGGATAGAAGAAACAAAAAACAGAAAGAAATCCTAAAGAAAGGGCAAGGAAGCTGGGTTCAGTGGCGCATTCCTGTAATGCCAGTGGCTCCGGAGGCTGAGGCAGGAGAATTGTGAGTTTTCAAAGCCAGCCTCCACAATGGGGAGACACTGAGCAACTCAGTGAGACCCTGTCTCTAAATAAAATACAAAATAAGGCTGGGGATGTGGCTTAGTGGTTGAGTGCCCCTGAGAGAGAAAGAAAGGAAGGGAGGGAGGGAGGAAGCGAGGGAGGGAAAAGCAAAGAATTTTTTTTTTTTTTTTGTGGTGCTGGGGATTGAATCCAGGGCCTTGTACATGGCAGGTAAGTATGCTACCAACTGAGCTATTTCCCAAGCCTGGAAATCTAATTTTAACCTGAGGTTTCTGCCTACCTTTCCAAGCTTGTCAGTCCTGAAGCCAAGCTCTAGCCCAGATCTGTCATTCCCAAATTTCTGGGACATCTGAACATCTTGCAGTTAACCATAAATTCCCTTACTTATAATTACCTTATGCACTGTTAATTAGCCCACTAATATATTAAGCAAACGGCAGATATTTTAAGAAAACCTAAATTTTAGAGGACTTTCCAGTGTTAATTGATCAGATAATTGAGACCATATCAGCCTAAGAATTCTAAGAATGATCAAACATAAACAATCTTGTGATCACCAGACTGATGGTTTCTACATTCCTTCCCATACACAGCCCTCACCAAGTTTCCTTTAAAAAAGTAAGTGGGAACCCCAAAATTTGTCTCAATCTTTAGATGGCCCACATTCTCTTCTTTAATGTGTATTTCTTGGTTTATCCTAAAAGACATCTTTCTCTTGGAAATAGCCCACGTTCTCCCTTGAATGTGCATCTGGTTTCCTAATGAATCACTGTCCATGCCTTTACTGATATACCCTGGAAATCAATATTGGCCACGTAGGTTAAGGACTTCACTTTTCCTGAGTTGAGCTCCCCTCTTCTCCAAGAATTCTTTGAGTCTCACTTCTGATGATTTCTCTGGTGACAATCCAAAATTCAAAGTTTATATTTGGCTTCATTTTTGATGTAGTATATTCTATGGGTTTTGGCAAATGTATAATGACATGTATTTAGTATTATAGTACCATACAAAATATTTTCACCGTGCTAAAAATCCTTTATGTTCCTTGTCTCCTGTGTAATCCCTGGAAACAGCTGATCTTTTCATTGTTCTGGCTTTGCATTTTCCAGAAGAGTATATGTATAGTTGGAATCATAGTATGTGACTGGTTCAGCTTGGCTTCTTTAACTTTCTGGTATGTATTAAGTTTCTTCTATGTCTTTACATGGCTTGATGCTCATTTCTTTTTAGCACTGAATACTATTCCATCATCTGGACATTCACTGAAGGACATCCTGATTGCCTCCAGGTTTTGGCAATTATAAATAAAGCTGCTATAAATATTCATACACAGGTTTTTGTGTGGAACTAGGTTTTCACCTCCTTTGGATAAATACCAGAAAGCCTATTCTGGATTATATGGTATGTCTACTTTTATTAAGTGCCAAACTGGCTGGGCACAGTGGTACATGCTTGTAATCTCACAGTGACTCAGAAGACTGAGGCAGTAGGATTGCAAGTTTGAGGTTAGCCTCAGTAACACAGTGAGATCCTCAGCAGCTTGGCAAGACACTGCTCAAAGTATAAAAACAAATAAATAAAAAGAACTGGGGGTGTGATTCAGTGATGAAGCATCCTTCGGTTCAATCCTCAGTACAAAAAAAAAAAAAAAAAAAAAAACCACATTTGCCCCAGAGTCTTCCAAAGTAGTTATAAGGTTTTGTAGTCCTGCCAGCTATCAACCAGTTTCTGTTGCTCCCCTTCTTGTCTGCATGTGACATGTGACAGTAATGTTCTGGTTTGGGCCATTTGAATGGGGTATGGTGGTGAGTACTGCATTGTTTGAATCCTCATTCCTCTGATGACGTGATGTGGAGTATATTTCCATGTGTTTGCCATCTGTCTTCTTTAGGGAGATGTGGTCAAGTCTTTTCTCCCCTCATCTTTTTTTTTGGTACTAGAGATTGAACCCAAGGGTGCTTAACCACAGAGCCATATCCCTAGCCCCCTTTTTTATTTAGTTTTGGTTTTTTAATGTGGTACTGGCAATTGAACCCAGTGCCTCACAGATGCTAGGCAAGTGCTCTACCACTGAGCCACAACTCCAGCCCTTTATATATTTTATTTAGAGACAGGGTCTCACTGAGTTGCTTAGGGTTTTGCTAAGTTGCTAAGGGTAGCTTTGAACTTGTGATCCTCCTGCCTCAGTCTTCCACTTTGGCCCATTTTTTAATGAGGCTTTTTTTCTTACTATTGAGTGTTAAGAGTTATTTATTTTGGATAACAATCTTTCATTAGCTCCAACTTGTACAAATATTTTTATATCTTTTCATTTTCTTAAGATAAATTTTTAAAGTGCACCTATTTAAGGTTTTCAAGATTCTTCCTCAATACCAGGGACCGGTGATATTACTCCCTCTGTAGGAGAACACATTTCATTTTGTAAATGCTTGACTTAAAAATTCTTGGAATATGATACATTTGCAGCCAAGCTTAGAGGAAGTATGGCAGGGGACAAGAGGCTAATGCAAGGAGTCTGACAACCAGGAAACCAAGGTGAGTAGCCCAGGGTGCTAAGATCGCAAGTTTTAAATGAATGAACACATTTTCCATATATGTTCTACAATTTCTAATTCCTCATTGATTTCCCTTTACTACAATCTTTGGAACCCTCTAGTGGCCATATGAAGACATGTGAATAAATGCTTTTCATTTTCAAATTCATAAAAGATTAAAAAAATCTTTAGGAATATGCTTTTTTTACTTCCAATTTAAGATAAGTTTAAAGTTAAAAACAAAAACAAAACAAAACAATAGCACATACCTCTCTCTTCTCAGATCTCAGTGACATTGACATGACAGAAAAGTGCCATGCAAGGTATCCATGACCTCAAAGAAAAGGACCAGTGGTCCAGAGACTGTAAAAAAACATAACCAAAAAGAGCTCTAAAAAATAGAAAGTAATGGATCCAAAACAATTGGTTTTACTGTCAGTTCCATGTCCTACCAAAGGTGCAGTGCACATGGAGAGGCTCCAGGGCCCTGAGGCTAGGCCCCCAGTGGGCATGAGAAGCATCACTAGGGGTGGACCCTCTCCTCTGCAGATTCCTGAGCCCTGCAAGGTGCTTTGTACAGACAGTACTGAGCCTCAGACGCCAGACTTCCTCACAGTTCTAAAGAGAAAAAGAAGCTCCCCAGAGGGAGAAGGAAACCTTTAAGTTGGAAATGTGAGGGTCCTGTGCCATCCCAGCATGATGACAGGAGCCCTGACTGTCCTGGGACCAGCTACAAGCTCCTTGGTGCCAACAGATCTTCCCGCAGCAGGCAGCAGTACCATTCTGACACCCACCCTCACCAAGGCCACAGGCCTTGTCCCTACAGGTGTCATCTTTCCACTGGGGCTAGGACTGACCCATGGAGAGATGGGATTCTGGAGGGATATCTGTGGTCTCATGGGACTACGGCTATTCATGGATGTGTCTTCAGGTAAGAGCCAAGAATAAAATGCTCATTAGCATTTTATTTTTTTGGAAAACTCAATATCTAGCTATTTTTCATATTTTTGGATTGTAACACAAACATCGTCAACTTTCTGATGTAAAACTGTTCTTAGAACGTGTGCATACAATTTTTTACTTAGCAGGGGGCAGAAATTAAGAAAGTAATCAATTCAGTTTTAACAAAACTAGTACAAGTTTGTCTGAAGTAGGATGGCAACCCATGATCCCATTGATCTTTTGTGTAATGTATAAAAGGTTCAATCTGTACCTAAATCATTTGGACCCATTGCCTTATTTTTATTCATTTATTTATTTTTATATTACCTGGGATTGAATCCAGGGCCTCCAGCAGGCTAGGCAAATGCTCTATCACTTAGCTACACCCCCAGCACCCACCTGCCTTTATTTTATTTTATTTTTTGTACTGGGCATTAAATTCAGGGACATTGAACTACTGAGCCATATCCCCAGCCCTATCCCCAGCCCTATTTTGTATTTTATTTAGACAGTGTCTCACTGAGTTGCTAAGCACCTTGCTAAGTTCCTCAGACAGCCTTTGAATTCGGGATCCTCCTGCCTCTGTCTCCTGAGCCACTGGGATTATGGGAGGGAGGGAGGGAGGGAGGAAGGAAGGAAAGGAGAGAGGGAAAACAAAGAGCCTGTAATCCCAGCAGCTGGGAAGGCTGAGACAGGAGGATCAAAAGTTGAAAACCAGGGCTGGGGCTGTAGCTCAGTGGTAGAGCGCTTGCCTGGCATGGGAGGCACTGGGTTTGATCCTCAGCACCACATTTAATAAAATAAAATAAAGATATTTTGTCCATCTACAACTAAAGGCATTGTTTTGGTTTTTTTTTTTCTTTTTAATACCTTTATTTTTAAGTGGTGCTGAGGATCAAACCCAGAGTCTTGCACGTGCAAGGTGAACGCTCTACAGGTGAGCTACAACCCCAGCCCCAACTAAAGACATTTAAAAAAGTTCAAAGCCAGCCTCAGCAACAGCAAGGCACTAAGCAATTCAGTGAGATCCAGACTCTAACATTAGTAAGTGACATTAAGTAACTTAATCATGCCTCCATTAAATAAAAACAATGGCCTCAGAGTGGTGGCAGTACCAAAGATGGAAACAGACCGAGAATAAACACAAAGGTGACAAGACCCAGCAATCTCACTTCTTGCTTACTGGTAGAGATCACAGGGGGTGCAACACCTGCATAAGGATGATTATTTTCGTGTTATTTTGTATTCTACACAGGGTGAGTAAATTTTTCTGTAAAGGTACAGAGAGTCACTGTGTCAGGTTTTGCAAGAACACAATTTGTTGCAACCATGCAACTCTGCAGCAGTGGCAGAAGCAGTGTGGACAGTGTGTTAAGGGGTACGCATGACTGTGTTGGCCCCAATGTCATGGGCAGAGACTGAAATCTGAATCTCACTAAGTGATTCTGATTGTTCAACCACTTGAAATAGAAATCTACTCTGGGTTGGGCAGGATTTAGCTCAAGGGCTGTAGTTTGCCAAGCCCTGTCTTCCAGCATTGAGTTGCAAAGGCTGCATTGTACTCCATTTTATCATGAGCTTGAGCTTGGGATACCACAGAACAATGAGCATCCTACCAAATGTGTTTAGACTGGCAGAATCCAAACTGTGGTGACATACAGAGGGAAAACAGCAGGACTGCAAAATCTCCACCCCTGTTTATGTGGGGAGGGTCTGAATAGTAGATTCTTTCTAGGTGCCAATCATGAAAACATGGTAAACCTTAAACAAAAAGCAACTCAGGACATGACAGGAAGCAGGGAACCCCACTCACTAGGGCAAAATATAAGCCCCAAAGCACACCTCAAGGACCCACATCCATCAGCCTACCCTCCCTGCCTATAGTTACCACTGTTATTCCCTGTCCACAGATAGTGTGCTGGGGAGGTTAAGACTCATATAACCTACTTAATTTCTACACTCTTTTGCATTGTCTCACAATGAGCTTTTGGGGGACAAAGCATATCTAAACCATAATAGGCCCCAACTCCAAATATCATCAGATTGGGGGTTGGGCTTTAACAAAGGAATTTGGGAAGGATACAATGCATCCATAACACATCCCAATGTCTTTCTTATGCCAACTTAATATTCAAGTGTCCTACCGACAAATCAACATGTTGAACTACAAATGGCGCTACTCTCTGGCAACCAGTCCAGTCCTGGGTCCATTCCGAAGTCGTGCACTCATAAATTGCTCCGATCGAATGTCCATCACATTCTACACAAATGATGGGAGGATGCTTATACCTGACAAAAGAGGGAACTAATTAGTTTAGTCAAAAGTAGAAAACATTTAGTCCTAGACGTACCACAGGATTGATGTTTTCTGATGTAAACCAAGAATAAACCTCATAAGAAACAGTGATACATGTGTACCTTGACTTAAGATTGGGCCATATCCTGATAAATATTTTAAATGGAAAATAAGTTCAAAATATGTTTATGTCCCAATAAAACCCATCATGAAGTTGAAAATAAGTTGAGCCCAGAGACCACCTATACAGTGAATACTATATCCCTAAGTCAGGCTGTAATACATGTATATTTGACACTTTCTAGGGATGAACATACCCAACAGAAACAACTTCACTTGACTCTTTGCTGTCTTCAGGATGACTCACACTGTGGGCGTCTGAATATCACAGGCTCCATCCAGGATTCTCAAACTTTGCTAGCACACTGGAATCCACTGGGGAACCTTAGAAAAACATGGATCTCTATCTCTAACACAATATATTCTTATTTACTTGGTAAGGGGGATTTAGGCATTAGAAATTTTGAAAGCTCCTGAGTAACTGTAATGTGCAGCAAAATTTGGGAACCACTGGGCTTAATCTCACTGGCCTAAAAATAAAAAATATATTTCTCTTTCACATGACAAGTCCAACATGAGTCTCAAGGAGACTCTGCTTACTAGGGTCAATCAAGACCACCATTTATGATACTGTCTTTTCAACCCCAGGCCTCAGGGACCAACACAGCTGGAGAGAAGGCATGAAGAGCCACGGCTCACAAATGCTTTTGCTTAGAAACAAGACACCATGCTTCTGCCTACCATTCCATGTGCTTACTACATATTTACCTGTGCCTAACTATGGGGAACTGTGGTTCTCCACATGCCCAGGAGAGGAGAACAGGAAACATAGGAGAGCATGGGTATCTCCTACATTTTCACATCACCATACACTGAATGCTTGCCTTTTTGATGTTCCCTGGCCACATCATTTTGTTCCAAGTCTTGAATCTTGTCTTCTATTTCATGTCATGAACTAATTTATAAATCTACAAATAAATATATCTACAAATAATCTGATATTTCTAAATGATACATATTTCTAAATGATACACTGCATTCCTTTGTAACTTGTACTGTACCAAAAAACTCTTGTCAAACTGATTCATATAATTTGAAGAAAAAAGCGTGAAGGCTATTATTTCTAAATCTGGCATGACCTGATGGTTTGCCGCCGAGTATGACCTAAAAAAGCAGGCACATCGTGGGGCTTATTCTCCTCTTTCCCTCTCCTTGCAGAACAAAACAAATAACCTTTGGTAAGACAGGAACAGCGAGGCTTGTCACAGTCATTTCTACTTACAAATTCTTTTTTTTGTGTATGTGTGTTGCTAGGGTCTAACCCAAAAGCTCATGCATGATAGCAAGAGCTATACCACTGAGCTAAATCCCCAGCCCCACTACTTATAAACTCTTGCCAGTTTGCCCAGATTTGGATACTAATGCAACTAAACAGGTGGATGAGCCCAAGAGTTTTTTGAAATCTTACTTGAATAAATGCTTTTAATATATATTTTTTGGTACTGGGGATTGAACCCAGAGACACATCCCCAGCCTTTTTTATTTTGAGACAGGTTGTTTTCACTAAGCCTTCGCTAAGTTGCTGAGGCTGATCTCAAACTTGTGATCTTCCTGCCTCAGTCTCCCAAGTTGCTGGGATTATAGATTACATTACTTTTTCAAAACCTGGGATATACCCAATTCCAGAACACAGATAAGCACCTATACTTTGTTTAAGTATGTGTATATATGTTCAACCTAGTTTTAAAAATTAAACGTGCAATCCTGTGCACCAGGTGAAATGATACATTGACATATGTATTATTATGGATTGCATATATATAAAACGGAGAGGTACTGATACAGAATGAACTCTATAATACTTTAAGGGAAAAAAGAGTACACAGAATTGTGGATATACAATTACTTGAATATAGGTATGCCACCCATCTTTAGAAACACCAAATTGGTCACTGCTGCTATAGAATACAGGAGATACTTTTCATTTATGCCTTTGTGTGCTGCTTAAACCATTAAATATTCCATATAAGCCCTTCCTACAGAGGACACACCAACTAACGAGAAGAAGGACAAGCAATCGAATAGAGAAACACCAAAGGAAAAGGACAAACAACCCAGCAGAATGGTTGATGCTTTGTAAGTGCAGTGACTCAGGAGGTTGAGGCAGAAGGACTGCAAACATGAGGCCAGCCTCATCAACTACATAATTTCTTGCCTCAAAATAAAAAGGGCTGAGGATGTATCTCAGTAGTAAAGGCTTAATCCCCAGCACTGCAAGAAGAAAGAAATGAACCATGCCCTTCAGTAACACCAAATGAGTGTGCAAGGGCATGGTGTCTAAGCAGTGCATTGCAGTGACCCACAGCACACTGGGTTCACACTGCCTGCATTATGATCTCATATCCAACTTTGTGACACTGGCATCTACCTCACAGACTTGTTATGAGAATTAAATAATTTAACACACACTTTGTAAATTCAAAAAATGTTTTACTCAGGATTGAATCCAGAGGGACTCTACTACTGAGTGATATCCCCAGTCCGTTGTATTTTATTTTGAGACAGGGTCTTGTTAAGTTGCTTAGGGGCCTCACTAAGTTGCTGAGGCCAGCCTCAAACCTGCTCTCCTCCAGCCTCAGCTTCCCGAGTTGCTGGGATTACAGGAATGTGCCACCATGCCAAGCTATAACTACTACAGGATGGCTGTTGTTTTTGCAGTGTTGGAGGTTGAAACCATGGCCTCAAACATGTTAGGCAAGTGCTTTTGCTCTACCACTGAGCTACAAACTAGCCTGATAAAAAACTTAACTTGACGAATTTAAAGGCAAAAACAGTTAAATTTAAAATGTCTTTATTCATTTATATAGCAAATACTGTAACCTACTTAAAAAAGTCTCTCAATGTGTCAACTTAGCTAAAAATCTCATGTATCTTTTTTCCATCACATATTGACATGATACAGGATGCAGGATATAGAAGTCAATTTAATAGACATTAAATAATTTCATACATATTCGGAATCTTGCACAACTCCTTAAAATTACAGACCAACATTAAATATTGGCACATGGATATTCCATGAACACAAAACGGGTTTCACAGAAGATGTGCTTGTACTGGTTTATGGTAACCACCTTGCTTTCTGTGAATCTTTAAATACCCAATTCCAAATCTTCCAGCTCCTGGAGAAGGGCTTTCTCTTTTTGAATTTTCTCCAACTAGAAAAGTTTGAAACAGTAAAGTTATTAAATAGGAAATAAAATAATTATTGCCTGTATAACTGAACAAACTTAGAGATTAGAGAAACCACTTAGAGAAGGAGGATTGCTTATACTTTATCAGATCTACTGATAAACAGATAAAAAACATATATAAGAAACAAATTCTATATTTGATTTCTACGGTGAATCAAAAGGGCAAAAGACAGAAGCTGTCTCACTATGTCCCTTCAGTCCAGTGAAATTTCCATTCCTCATTTGGGCTTAAGAGTGCTGAGGAGAAGGGGCAGGCAGCACAGCAGCAAGAACCACAGGAAGGGAGAGACCCCACATTTGCCTCTTCTCTTCTAAAGAGCAGCTCCAGCACCAGTGCCCCCAGGAATAGCGGCTCAATCGCCATGATCTACATCCACTCTTCCCTACCACAGTCTGACTCTGGTCCAAGGTGACCACCAAAAGAATCTGGCATGCAGGGGATGGTGATATGGCTCAAGTGGTAACACGCTTGCCTGGCATGCGCAGGGCACTGGGTTTGATCCTCAGCACCACATAAAAGTAAAGATGTTGTGTCCACCCAAAAACTGAAAAATAAATACTAAAAAAAAAAAAAAAGAATCTGGCACGCAGTTTCCAAAACAAGTTAAATCCACATGCTCATTTTCCTGATTAAATAATTGCTTGTAATAAACACGAAATGATGGTAATGACTAAGAGACCAAAGGAAAAATGCAGAAAATACCTGATTTTTTTCTAGCTGCTTTCCAGCTGCTGCTTGTTCTTTCAGTTGTTCAATAGCTTTCAGTTTCTGTAAGTATCAAACAAGGGTCAAGAGGAAGAAAAGTCATGTCCTCAAGCAAATTTTCTTATTAACAATCATATGAATATAAAACTTGAATAAGGAGAATTTTCTGACATTTCTATCAAGAATGGCCTGTGAAAATACTGGGGTAAACTAATTTTTTTTTTAAGTTAAATATAAGACCATGTATATTAGGGCTGGGAACACAGCTTGAGGGCACAGGACTTTCCTGGCACACATGAGGCCCTAGGTTTCATCCCCAGCACCACCAAAATACAAAAATAAAACTGTACAAGTTTAAACATGAGATTTGGCAAAATATTTTTTTCAAGCTTTTAATTAAGTTATCACTAAATATATCACTTATTTTGCCATTTGTTTTGACATCCATTGTACCTGGATGACGACAGGCCTTGTGAGTGTTGGCAGCAGGTACTGGGGAATGGAGCCTGGGATACATCCCCACCTGGTTTATATTTTTTATTTTGAAAGAGAGTCTTGCCAAGTTTCCCAGCTGGTCTTGGCCTCTCGATCCTCCTGCCTCAGCCCCTGAATCCCTGGGACTGCAGACATGTCTCACCATGTCGGACTACAATTGAGGCCGTAAGAGCAGCTCACATACAGCTAGATAAGGTTCAGAGACCTCCTACCCCACAGGGGAAATTTCATAAATTAATAAACTTCTTCATCTTAAAACTGGGACAAAATATCACCGGTATCTAAAGAAATAGTGAGTAAAGTATCAGCATTTTCTGTACAAATGCACATTACTTCTTATTACTCCAAAAATTAATGAAAGTAGCCCTTAAGCATCTGTGATGAGAACTAAAATGAGTGCCATCCTAATTACAGTATTTCATAGTGGGAAACAACAAAGCAAGCATCTTGGCTCCCTGTTGTTGGGCAGCTAAGCACTGCTATTTTTCTGGATGTGATTCTCAAGTATATTCTTTTCAACACACACATCTGCTTTTCATTTAAAAGTCTCTTACCTTCTTTAGGTTCCTGATTTTTTTATCTACTTCAGGGTCACCAGAAGTTGCCTGGGAGACGGTGTTCCAAGATGTGCTCTGCGGAGTAGGAGTTGGTGCCACATCTGGACTCTGGTCATTTTTTGCTTCCTACAGGAAATATTTTTAAGAATTCAATTTTAAAAATGAAGACATTTATTAAAGCATTTCAATCCACAATCTTGACATGTAACATGAAAGCCAAATGTCAATTTCACCTACACTTTATTATTTGAAGAACCTGGATTAAAGGCCTCGTCAGACACTTACGTGTTCCCATAATGACCACATTGGAGGCTCTTACGTGTTCCCATAATGACCACATAGGGGTGCACCAAGAGGTTCCTTGACCAGTACTCTGGGATGTGCCACAGTGTTGTGGATGGTTTGGGACTATAGAGGGCTTTGCTGATGAAGATGTGTCACGTCTTGCTCTGTGGTACCCTGCCAGCATGCAGGTATGTCACTTCTCAATCTGTGATGCTCTCCCAATGCACAGAATGTGTAGGGGCAGTCCGTGTAACAGAGGGTGCTAGAAAGAGAGCAGCTCACTGCTCACCTCCAGACTAGCTCAACTCTACAGCCAGGTACCAGGGAAGGTTGCCCTTTTCCCCTGCATGCTCCCAGTACGACCAGACCTCTGACTCTCTCTAGCCTCCACCCTCCTTGCTGAAGGACCACCTGTGAGCCACTTTCACATCCCCAAGGTGCCATACACTCTTGCCTCCTTGCCTCTATGTACACTGTCCCATGTTTAGAATACTTCCCCACAAGTTACCTGTTGGCCTACCCAGCCTCTAGGCCTCCTGGGAAGTTCCCACATCACAGATCTGGGTTTGCTGCACCTATCCCAGGCTACCCTCCCCCCTTGGCAGGTTCTCCCCAGGACAGCTGGTTCCCCAGCACAGCACTGGCCTGAATGCATACGCTAAATAAATGAAAAGAGCAAAACCACAACTCTCCTTTGTAATTATCAGATACGTGCTTTGACGAGGGGAGGAAAAAAGCTATAAGTCTTTCCAGGCAAAGATTGGGTTGCTCTTCCTTCTGAAGGTCAACAGAACACTGAGTGCCCCAAGCCTTGGAAACCTTCTAGATGGGAAATTCTTAACTCCCAGTGCATCCCAGGAAGAACACAGATAGGATGTTACTCTAGTTCTCCAACTCTAAAAGAGCCTGCCTAAGATTTTGTAAAGAGGATAAGATTGTAGTCATTTTTTTAAAGGCATATTGGTGTCACTTTTGTACATGGCAAGAAATATTAATTCCTTTCCTATTATGTGAAAACACACTATTAAGCACTTAAGAGTATTCAGAAAGAAAATATGTAGCTTTTATTTATTTATTATTTTTCCCCCAGTACTGGGAATCAGACCCAGGGCCTAGAACATGCTAGGTAAGCACTCTATCACTGAGCTACAGCCTTAGTGCACCCCCGCCCCTGGCTTTAATTATAAGATAGGGCCTCCCTAAGTTGTCCAGGCTAGTCTCAAACTTGCTATCCTCTTGCCTTAATCTCCCAAGTAGCTGGGATTACAGGTGTGTCCCACTGGGCTCAGTGTTAGTTTCTATTCTTAAGGAGCCTATGAATTTTGATAATGTAAAGTCTGGTATTTTTCATTTTTCGTAATATAAAAATAGATGATAGAAGTGGCTTAAAGAAGATGGATATTTTGCCCACCAACATTCATTTCTGGTCAGGTATAGTGGTGCACACTTGTAATCCAAACAACTCAGGAGGCTAAGATTTGAGGATCACAAGTTCAAGACCAGCCTCAGTCACTGTCTCAAAATATAAAATAAAAAAAGGGTCGGGGATGGAGCTCAGTGATAAGAACCCCTGGGTTCAATCCCCAGAACCCAAAAGAAATTTTAAAAAAAGAAATCAATTCTGATATCAGATAAAAATTTAAAACTTTAGTTATTTGTAATGAGCTGAGAATGTGTCTTTTTTCGAGGAAGAAACATTAGTTATAAATGTGAAAAAGTGTTAAAATTAGGTAAAACATGAAATTTGATTTTCTACCATAAACTAACCAAAAGTAAGTTAAAATGTCTGCTTTATTATACTTAAATTCTGGTCATGTGTACATGAAAAGATTTATTTCTTAAGCCTCAACTCTTTATGGTAAAGTTGATAAGCTGAGAAAATCATAACCTGACTATGCTATTTTTGGTTATTTAATTCAGTCAGGATTGGAAGATCCAGGCAGGGTACGATCCTGTCATAGGGCATTTAGCTCCACTCAATCACATAGCCGTAACTTTTACAACTCTGGCCAGTCATCTTAAAACTCACTCACAGAGTACCTGCAAGGTGAAAACCCTCTGCCCACCAGAACAGCAAAGAGCACCTCTGTAGAGAGGGTTCAGGGACACCAATAACTGTAGGTGTCTGTATGGCTTCATGGATGCACTAGGGAACTTCTGTAACTACTATGCTTTAAATTAATGGCACTATTTTTTTTTCTTTTTTTAAAGAGACACAAAGACTACCTTTAAGAAAATTTTAACTATTTTAAAATTACTTTTTCTAAATAAGACATACTGATTCTGTAATCTCCCCCAAATTTTATGTGCTCAAATATCAGAAAATCATACAAAATAAACAACTAATATTTTATCACAAAAGAATCTTCATCAACAATGATCATATTAAAATACCTTTTGATAATATGAAGAAAATTTGCTTATGAAAATAGGATTCTAAGTTAAGTAGATTTCAGAGGGACCCTCAATCTCCAGGAAGAGTAATCTGACCTAACAGTGTTTGTGAAGACACCGATTTCTGGTAACAACCAGCTCCAGCACAGATCCCTACCAGGAGGACAAAATTGCTTTTATACAAATCTAATGCATAGAATGGATTTTTTTTTTACTTAAAATAACCTAAAGGTGACTTTTTAAGATATTTCTGAAGATGAAACATATTAACTACAAAAGAGAACCATGGTGTTTTTTAAAAGCCAAGATTTTAGCAGAATATGGTTACATAATGTAATTCTCTTAAAATAGTACTCCTATCAAAAAACCTAAGCAACCTAGGCCTGTTACCAGCAAGATTGAAGGAAAGATACAGCAATTAGCTGCTAAAAATCCACGCCACTGTTCTGGTCTGAATGTTGGTAGAGCTTGATGCCAGCGAGACTGACAGGCAGGGCTGTGGGAAGTGAGTAAGTCAGGAAGACTCTGCCTTCAGGAGTGTATATGAATTCTTAAAAGCCTCAAGCAACTCCCTGGACTCTTCCATCACAGGAGGACACGCAGAAGACCATGTCAATGAGAAACAAGTCCCCCAGACACAGAGTCTGCCGATACCTTGTTTTTAGGCCTCTAGAAATATGAGGTATGAATTTCTGTTGTTTACAAACCCCAGTCTAAGGTATTTTCTTACAGTACTCACTCTATCTGAACCTAAAAATGCAGTCACTATAACCTCACTAACCAGACACTGCTAGCCAATATGTTAAAGACTTGATGCTCAGGGTGGTACTAATGGGAAGAAAGATAGCCTTTAGATGGTGGAGTCAAAGGAAGATTCTCAGGCCACTGGGGACATGCTCTTGAAGACAGTAGGATACCAGCCCCTTTCTCTTCCTCTCTATTCCCTTGCTCATGATGAGGTGAGCAATTTTGCTCTACCACAGGTTACTACCATGATGTACTACCCACCACAGGTCCAAAGCCAAAGGGCCAATAGATCATGGACTGAAACTCTAAAACTGTGAGTCAAAATAAACCTCTGTCTTTATAAGATGACTACCTCAGGTATTCTGTTACAGTGATAGAAAACTAATAGTCACCCATCATATAGATTGGATTACTTAGAAATCCATAGGCAAACAAAAAGAAATTCTGGCTATTTAAGTCTAACTCCAGCTACATTTTATAACATAACATTCAAATCTTCAAAACCAAAGTTCATTACATTTAAAGGTTCAAAGCTAAAATTTAATTGGTTTTCTTTTTGGTTTGTTTGTTCTATTTTGAAGAGATCAGTACCCCAAATACCTGCTTGGCAGCTTTCTTAGCTTCATGCTTCCTTTGATTTTTAAGGGCTGTTTTTGATAATGGCTTCTCATTTCCTGTGTGTGGTTTCATATTCTGAGGTGGTTCTTCTTCATGCTATGGAAATATAAAACAAACAATTGTGAAATGGAGTCCATGTTTTTTAAAATACATATAATAACAACAAATAATATGCTTTTGTTGGTATAGGATAAGCTTATTTTATCATTTTACTTTAAAATCACTGACAGAGATCATTGAAAAACTCTTATTAGTGGTAGCACACGCTCACTGTCATAATGGATTGAAAGAGGATCTTTCTACTTGTTCGCATATATCTTTTGGTTCTCTAAAAGCTGGCAAAATTCACTTGAGTTTTATTCAAAAAAGGAGTTTTTCTTTCTCTGGCACAACTAGAGACACAGGGCTCATAAGATGGGATACCACCAGGAGCTGCTTTTGGTATCTGTCCTTCAGCAGGAACCCAGTCGCCTCACACCTTCCTCACACAGGGACCGCCCCCCAGGCCTCAACTTGTGAAACCAGAGATGGGAAAGATGAGCAACTTTCCCAGGCTGGTGTTGGCGCCCAGGGCCTTGCACCCGCTGGGCAGTGCTCTGCCACTGGGCCTCCCCCAGACCTAGCCATGTTTGAATGGGACACTTTGGTAGAACTCAAGCAGTTACAGTCACTGTGTGCAGTCAAGGAGGAAGCACTGGTCTTTTGTTTTTGTTTATGTAGAAGTGAAGACTGGCATAAGGAAGATGTAAGAATATTTAATCTTCAAAGGCATCTATTTCCCTAAGTGCTATCTGTACATCCAATTGACATGAACAGACCATTTCATAGCTCTTGTATAGTGACTTTCATAATAACACCAGCAATACTGTTGCTTATTCTTGGAGCACCTCTATTTCTTAATACCATCCTAGAAACCCAGGGTGTTCCCTAAGCTCTGAAATGCTAACTTTTTAAAAAAATATCAGAATCTGACCAACACTATGGTCATAACTTTACAGCAATGGTGGGTAACTAATGGCCTAAACATAACATATGTGTTTTTGACCAACAGTGTCTTTAAAATTCAGAAATTTCACAAAGGCAATCAGACCATGTTTTCTTGAAGTTCAAACATTTGGGCAACTTGGATCAAGAATCCCCATGGGAAGCAGCAGCTGTGGCAGCCCAGCTGCAGGGCCTGCCTTGTCTCACTCCACTGGCGTGGCCTGGCCTCCTCAAGAGTGACCTCCTCATCAGCTTAACAGGGTGCGCGGCTGGACTTCCTCAGCTCCAGATTCTCAACAATTCCTGCCCTAATCTGGATCCTACCAGATACTAAGACACACAGGACACAAGATATAGGTCCAGAGAAGTCTACACAGTGAAAATTTTTTTCCTATCAAAGTAGTAAAACTTTACTTACCAGTTTGGAATTGGTGATGGGTTTATTTCTCAAAGCTGGAGGTCTGTAAGCTGTGGCAACTTTAGGTTCGTCATTGGGCACTTCACTTGGAACTGCTTGGTAAGTTATTCTTTTTGCTGGAAATATTCCATCCAAAAATGGCTGCCAGGAGACCTGCCACAACTCTGCGTTCGATGGCACATCATGCTTGTGCAAGACAGAGCCAGTGTAGTGCCAGACTTTGTACCCATTGTTAACACGTAACCGGGGAGCACACGTGGCTGTTAAGATGTGCTCACCATCTGGGCACCACGCAAAGTATGTAGAATCAGAAGCCACTGGTTTAGAGATGAGTTTGTAGTTCTTAACATCCCACACTTCCATCTGTCCCCTCAGATTTCCAAACCCAGCCAGGACTAATATGTGTCCATGAGGGCTGAAGTAGGCTGCATTTCGAGGCCCAGTGCCAAAGTCGAACACAGGGTCACATTTCAGGTTGAAGACCGTCGCCTTGGCAGGCATGAAGCCATACACGGCACAGAACTCGGTGGAGCTGGAATTCCACGCTACATCATAGATGGGGCCACTTTTTGCTAGAAAAAGAATACAAAATCCAAATTAGAAATAAAGAATTATATGAATATTATATTAGCACAAGTTATAAATACACAGAAATCATAAACATATCAAACAGTAAAATAACAACATAACAAACATATCAAACAGTAAAAAAAAAACCTCTAAGAATTTCAAGGCATATTGAAGTTAGAATATTCCTATATGATATATTGTGAGCATTAATATGTAATCATAAGTTTATTTAAGAACTTTTATGGAATCCTAATTTATTTTAAACATTTTGGCAATATGGGCTCATGGAAACCAATATGAGTTTATTACTATTAATAAAAAACAAGGGCTGAGGTGGTGGCTCAGCGGTAGAGTGCTCGCCTAGAACATGCAAGGCCCTGGGTTCGATCCTCAGCCCCACATAAAAAAATAAATAAATAGAACAAAGCTATTGTGTCCAACTACAACTAAAAAATAAATATTAAAAAAATGTTGGGGCTGGGGTTGTGGCTCAGCGGTAGAGCACTCGCCTCACATGTGCGAGAACCTGGGTTCGATCCTCAGCACCACATAAAAATAAGTGAAATAAAGGTATTGTGTCCAACTACAACTAAAATAAATAAATATTTTTTAAAAATGTTAAAAATAAAGCCAAAACAAACAAAAACACACTTTTCTGAAATGGGGTCTTGCTCTATGTCCCAGCTGATCTCACACTCCTCAATTCAGGCTCCTCTTATTCAGCCTCCCGTGGGCTAGGACAAGAAAGAACCACAGGCACGTGTTACCATGCCTGACAAGTGTCTGTCTTTATTTTTGAAGGAGTAATATATAAAATGGTAATAAAAATGTAAACTATATAAAGATATACATGCCACAAAAATAAGTTCCTCTAAAAAAGGCAATCCCCTCCCTGTTATATTTCTTGCATACTCTTTCAGAATATTTTTGTTGAAATAAAGCATCTGTCTCCTAAATAGACACATAAGTGACACAGCTCCAGACCTGTTATTGATTTAGTCTCCATCTTGGGGTTTCAACATGGGCACGTGCAGCTGGTCAGTTCTTCCTCAGCCGCACTGTGTTCCATCACCAGCCCACTGCCTTCTTCCCACAGAGTGTGCACCGCATCTGCAGGCATACAGCTGCGAGCTACCAGGGCATGCGCACTTCCTTGCCCACCATAGTGCCCTCCCAGGAGGTGTGCCTGCGCATGTGCCTAGCAACAACGTGTGACCATGCAGGTCCCCTGGCTCTGGTACTATGCAGGTTCATGCTTTCACCTTTGCCAGTTTATTAAGTAAAAATTGGTATCTTACGTTTATTTCTACTCTTTTAATTATAAGCTAATCAATTACAAGCAATTTAATTTTTGCTCCTGTGGACAATTCTTACTGTCTCACGCCTGTTCTTCTTCCCAGTTACAAACTGGATTTTACTTGATATATTAAGAATATTCACCTTTTCTCATACTCATCCCTTGTCTGCTCTAAAAAATTATATTTCACATATTTTTTTTTGCTTGCTTTGATTAACTCCTTTCTTCTTTCAATGTAGAAATCTATAATTTATAACATATTCAACTTTTTTACATATGACTTCTGTCTTACTTAGAAAATCTTTTTCTACCCTATGATTAGACAAAAATTTCTTTCATATTTTCTTCTAGTTCCTTTGCAGTCTTATATAATTTTATGGTCTAACTGGAATTTATTTTGGTGAAGAGGTAGAAATACCAATTTTTTATTTCAAATGGCTAGCTAGTTGTCCCCAAACCACAAATAAAACAATCATTTTCTCCATTGATTCAAATGTTGACTTTATATTAATGCCTATAGAAATACAGTTTTCTTTCTGGACAATTCTATTCAACAGATTTATTAGCCTGTCTATAAGTCAGAAACAAGTAATTATCATTGCTCTTCTTTTACAAAAGTTTTCAAAACATTCTTGTATGTTCATGTTTCACTATCAACCTTAGGACCAGCTTATCCAATTAGACAAAAGCAACAATGACTTAAATTAAATTTTTAGACTAATTGGGAGAAATAACATCTTTTAAACTGATTTTTATTAAAGGTCATAATTTGTCTTTCTGAAGAGTTATAAAGTTTTCCTTCCATAGTCCTATATACATTTTATTTTTGTGCTATATTTGGAAACTTTTCTTCCATTATTCAAGTGGCTGTTTTTTTATACTTCATCCATACCAGCAAAGATAATTCAGTTTTCTCCTTTCCAAATTGCATATTCTACTTCTTTTGATCACTTACATTTGCAAGGTATTTTAGCCATTCTTGTTTTGTATCTGACTTCAATGAGAATATAGTTTTTTGCATGCAAGATTATTCTACTTACATATGTTCAATTCAAAATAGAAAAAAAATCAGGGACCTGCTAGAATGTTAAAACTATTACTAATTGAGTTCATCAAAACAAGAGATACAGTGGTGACATTCCTGGATGTTATTCACAATTCTGAAAGTAATTCTCAACTCACTAGAATGACTTGCTGTCATAATTAGTCAAGTACGTCCTAGAAGAAATAACACAACGGGATTGCCACATTCAGTAAGTCCTAACTATCGGCATGTTGGCATAATACAAATAAATTAACTGAGTTCTGTCAAAATTGGGTATGTCTAAGAATAATTTTAAGTTTCTTAATTAAGAGGAACTATATCTTATATTATAGATTATAGCATCTTTGTGGCATATTATTTTTTATACTGTTGTTTTATCAAAGAAAGACAAAGGAATACTCACGTAACTGCACTACTGCGCTCTCTCCATTGGTCGCAATGTAGTGCAGTGTCTGTTCTCCATAGTACGAAGCACCTGTCTTGTCCACGTCTGTACTGGCTATCACGAGCACAGCAGTAGCTGCAACAGCAAACACTTTAATTAAATTTAAACACAGGTCATGGGCAGGGATTGTGGCTCAGGGGTAGAGCACTCGCCTAGCACGTGCAAGGCCCTGGGTTCGATCCTCAGTACCTCATAAAAATAAATGTGTTGTGTCCATCTACAATTAAAAAATAATCAGCTGGGGCTGTGGCTCAGCGGTAGAGCACTCATCTCACACATGTGAGGCCCTGGGTTCAATCCTTAGCACCACATAAAAAAGTATTGTGCTCATCTACAACTAAAAAAAATGTAAAAAAAAAAAAAAAACCCACAAATCATCACGGATACTCCTTTTTAAATACATGTACGTGTCTAAATCCAATTAACACATGATAAACAAAATGAGGAATAAAATGTTTACCTTACCTTTTTTATTCCATAGCATTGTCACCTTATCAGCTTTAAAGAAACTCTTATTGGCTAATGCGGCGTGAGGTCCAGCAAAGTTAGGGTACTGATACAATCTGACAAATGAAGGTGCACCTTTACTCCCTGGAACATAGACAGCTACCTAAGACACAAGCAAATCATTAAATCATCACTTAATGTTCTGAAGTATGTAAAGTAAGATGGATATGTTTTCATAGTTACCAAAATAACTAGGAAAAGGCTTAAATTAATACTTCACATTAACCAACAAAAACAGCAATTACCTTATATGGCTGAGGCCCAGGTGATAAAACAAAATCATTAATTTTTTGCAAATGTAATTTATTTGCAATTGTATCTAAAAGAAAAGAATAAATGGTGTTAGATGGATGAGAGCCACTAACAGGAACATGTTAAACTCTGAATGTATTATAAAGGTCATTGTAACTACATACAAATATTGCTCATTGTAGTCGAATGTGGGTGAGACAGTGCAATACAGTGCAAAAGGTCTGGGTGGCAGCAAGACAGACACAGGTTGATTTCCTACTCAGGTCATTTACTAGCTGTCAAGCTCCCGCAGTAACGGATCACACCACCTTACTCCCGGTGACTATTTTCAAGAACAGAGTGTCAGGCACAAGGTATGTATTTAATAAATGTCAGTTCTCTTAAACCTCTGAGATACAGCAGTTTTACAACCTATTAGATGGAAAAGATTGATCTTGCTACTGTAGAATGAAAATATGGAAATTCTGTAACAGTGTGGTAATATCATAATCATGATCAAAACAACAGTAACAATGGCTGAAATTTATTGAGTGTTTCTTCTATGCCAGGACGTTGGAATTCACATTTTTAACAATACTGCTGCCCGAGTTAATTATTTTCTTTATTCCATTTATTACTTTCTTTATTCCATTTCAGAGGTCAACAGTATTCAAAAGAAGTACTCCAAACTCCCTACCTGGTGACGCTCCTTCCTCTGGCATGCTAACCAAGAGGCAAGCCCAAAAGCAAGCTAATCAAACACACTGGGGCAGAAGTGGAAAGCAGGGAGATGAAGTGCACACTGCACTATGGAAAGCTGCTAGAGGTCAGCCCACTGACCATCCTTGGTGCATGTGAACAGACTTGCCAACTGCTACTCCATGACATGCTCGAAAGTGCACAATTATAATAGGGTACTCTATAAACAAAACAAATACAACTGCAATCCTTTCTCTTTAAATTATTTTTAGGGGCTGGGGATGTAGTTTGGTGGTACAGTGGTTGTTTTATGTGTGTGACGCACTGGGTTAGATTCCTCAGCACTGCAAAAAAATAAAGCTGTTCTCAGTGATCATGTTACTGTTGGTATAATTATTCCAAGAATACTATGCGGATAATGTGGAACAGAGCAAATGAATACTTATGTAAATGTGATATTCCCCAACTCTCATCCCTACTATCCCAGAGAAATAGGATTCTTGACATCACCAAAAGGTAATGCAGCTGGGCACAATAGCACACGCCTGTAATGCCAGCAGCTCCGGAGGAGCTGAGACAGGAGGATCAAAGCTAGTTCAAAGCCAGCCTCAGCAAGGGCAAGGTGCTAAGCAACTCAGTGATATCCTGTCTCTAAATAAAAATCAAAATAGGGCTAGGGATATGGCTCAGTGGTTGAGTACCTCTGAGTTCAATTCCACAGTACCAATAAATAAATAAATAAATAAATAAGGCTGGGAAAGGGGCTCAGTGGTTGAATAGTCCTGAGTTCAATCCCTGGTATCCCCCATTCCCCTCACCCCAAAATTGTTCATTGAGCTGGGGATATAGCTCAGTTGATAGAGTGCTTGCCTAGCATGCACAAGGTCCTGGGATCAATTCCCAGCACCACCAAAAAAACCAACCAACAAACAAAAAAAACCTTATAGTCTTTCATTTAAATGGAAGCTTTAAAAAAGAAAAAAACAGTTGAGAAACAATGATCAACACAGAAGCAATGAGAACCCCTGGAACCTAGATTACAGTTTCTACCATGAAACTAGGGTGTATTAGAGGATTAACTGACCCTAGCTCTGTAGCAGGAAACACATACATTAATCTTAGAATAGCTTAACTCATCACATAGCAAAGAAGTCACTGAGAGCTAACTGAACAAGGATGGAGCAATTTAAGCATCAGTAAGAATAATAAGTACAATAGATGGAAACATGATATTTTAAATCCACTGTTTATTAGGATGGGAGTAAAGAATTAAATGCTTACAATGAAGGCTGCTAGAGAACATATTATGTTAAAACTGATCAAGGAAAAGAATATTTATTCCTGCCTTTTTTATATAAACACCCTGTGGGCAACCAAATAGTACAATGGGAAATTAATCTTTGTAGACATAATTTAGCTAATAAATAAGAACAGAAGAAAGAAAATGAGAACATCACCAGCTTATAACCACTGACCTAGGCACTGAACATGAATGTCAGCTAACCCTGTAAAAACAGAGACAATCAAACACTACTTGATAAAAGAATACCACCATATGATAAACTCTTACCCTTGCAATCAAAAAGGACTCTAAATCTAAAAGGCAATTTGTAGGGAACAAAAGAACATGTAAATTATACTGTGGGATATAAAAACAGAATTCAAACCACAGGAAAATAACTAAGAAAAATAACCCTGATGTTTTTCTTTTCTCTCTCTTTTCCCAGTACTGGGGATTGAACCCAGGGGTGCTTTACCACTAAGTTGCTGAGGCTGGCCTCTAACTTGCAATCTTCCTGCCTCAGTCTCCTAATTAGCTGGGATTACGGGTACGCACCACCACGTGCAGCCTAATCTTGTTTGTTAAATAATAAATTACAAGAGAAAAAAAGAGATGTGGTGATAAACTATAGATTAAAAGAAACTTACGATGTATCAGTGAATTGTAATATGTGATAACTTATTTAGATCCTGAGTTTTAAAAGAATCACAACATTTGCAGCTGTTGGAAATCTGAACACTGAACCAAAATTTAATGATTTGTGATATTGTGATTAATTGTGGCTAAGTTTTAAAAATTAAGGGCTCTAATGTTCAGAGATAAATGATTAAATATTTTCTAATAAATTATATGATCTCTAGAATTTGCTTTAGCTCAGAGATGTTCTTTGGACAGAGGTAGGAATAGGAGGAATAGGAGCCAGATGTCCACTTTGGTGTTCGAAATTCTATACAGTAAGACATTTTTAAAAAATCTGTGTTACAGAATTTCAACAGCAATTAAGTTCAGAAAGAGACATTCTAATCTCTTCATTTAATACCAATTATCAAACAATAATGTTATTATAAATTAAAATTTGTGGTACTGAATTTCATTGGTATTTAGACTTACAGAGAATTCTACAAGTGGATATAACAGCAATTACTGATTAGCAAATTACTAGTATTTAGGAGAACCCTTTGATGCCACATAAGATAATAAACACTTCATACATTTAAAGTAAATAATACAATAATTTCAGGGCTGGGGTTGTGGCTCAGTGATAAAGCACTTGCCTAGCATGTGTGAGGCACTAAGTTTGATTCTTAGTACCACATATAAATAAATGAATAAATAAAAATAAAGGTTCTCAACGACAACAATTTTTTTTTTTTTAAAATAAATCCTTCCATACCAAAATTGTTGTTTTCAAAGAAGTGAACTTCATTGTTAACATTTCGGGCACAAATAATTTCATCTTCTGACCAGGATGGACACCTATGTCAAAACAAAAACAAAAACAAAATTAGATGACAACATTATGTTACCGTGTTAGGTCTGTGACACTGTTCACTACTTAAGGGAAAATACCTACCAAGTCAATTTCTAATAGTTTTATTAAACAATGTTTAATTCAGGGGCTGGGGTTGTGGCTCAGAGGTAGAGCACTTGCCTAGCATGTGTGGCACCACATAAAAATAAATAAATACAGATATTAAAAAATAGAGGCTGGGATTGTGGCTCAGTGGTAGAGTGCTTGCCTAGCATGCAGGAGGCACTGAGTTCAATCCTCAGCACCACATAAATGTAAAATAAAGATATTGTGTCCACCTAAAACTAAAAACTAAATATAAAAAAAAGATATTAAAAAACAAATATAAATGAATACTAAAAAAATACATATAGGAAAATATAATTCCTTTCCTTTTAAAGACAAAATCAAGATCACATTTTTACTCTTTTATTTTCCTATATACAAAATCCCTAAATGATCTATATTTTGTTCGAAGTATTTTCAAAATCAATACCAGGGAAATAAATATTATACCATGATATTTAAAATATTATGTAAATAATTAGACTTTAAAGCATTTATTTACCAATTTTGCATTTTTTTCTGTATGAAAGATTTCAAACATGTCCCATTTTTCACATCATATAACTGTAGGTTGGGTAATCCAGCTGTGCCATCTTTAGAAGCTGCAATAAAAACAAAAACAAAATACTTTGCACTAATTGTTTAACAGGTATAAAAAAATTTCAGACTTAGAAAAAATTGAAAAGGAGTATGAAGATCAAATTAAAAAGTCTCCCCAAATCAACTCTTTGGCCATCCTTCTGGAGTTGATCACTCGTTCCCCACACAAGGACAACAGCTGCCTGAGCCAGCCCAGCGCCTCCGACATGCAGTGACCATGTAGGTTTTAGAATACTTGAGATTTCTTATTTATTAAGTTTGAAATGCATTTCTGTTAAACAGATGGATTAAAATCATGAAAATTTGAAATGTGTTATGAAAAAAATGTTACTTACAACCATTCATGAGTTTCAATTTCCCTTTTATTTACTTGGAACAATAAGATTCATTAGAGTTGATGACTACTTTTTAAAAAAATTTTTTTAGTGATAGATGGGCACAACACCTTTATTTTGTTTATTTACTTTTATGTGTTGCTGAGGATCAAACCCAGTGTATCACACATGCGAGGCAGGCAGGCGCTTTACTACTGAGCTACAACCCCAGTTCCAGAGTTGATGACTCTTTTAAAAGAATAAAACCCATGTTTACAGCCCAACAATGACCTATTATCACTCATTTTTATCACTCATTTTTAAACCACAGCTATATAATATGCACATATAATATCTTATCACGAGATATCTAAATGTGTAAGAAAATAACACACCATTTCCAACAGTCATATAACACACACCTCTTAGACGTTGTATCTATGGTGCTTCCTTTCACTTATAATGATGATATTTATCGGTTATTATTCTTCTTAATCTTTAATGATCTTCTCTAGCCAGCAGTTATTTACTTTTTAAATTTTCTCTTGAGCCTTTTCTTTCCCTCTATCTCATGATTGATCTTCCTGCTAACTTACTATACACAGTAATTCTCCCTTATCTATTGTTTCAGTTTCTGAGGTTTCAGTTATTTTAGTCAACGAAGGACCAAAAATATTAAGTGGAAAATTCCAGAACTAAACAGTTCATAAGTTTTAAATTGAGTGCCATCCCACTCTGTCCCACACAGGGCATGAATCACCCATGCATCCAGGGTATCCATGCTATATCCGTATGCTATCCACCCACTGGTCATTTAGGAGCCATCTTGGTCACCATTTTGACTGTTGGAGCACACAGCACTTGAGTTCAAGTAATAATTTATTTACACAGTAATGGCTCAAACCACAAAAGAAGTAATTTGGATATGGAAAAGTAGCTGGAAATTCGGATATGCACATAACGCATTTCTTTTAAGTGAAAAGTTGGAGAGTTCTCAACTATTTAATGTAAGAAAAAAAAAAAAACTGCTTAAGTTGCCAAGATCACCAGTAAGAACAAATCTTCTATCCAGGAAATAGCGAAAAAAAAGAGAAACCCCTGTTAATTTTGCTGTGACATCTCAAACTATAAAAATATAGGTAAATGCCTAGTTAAGATGGAAAAGGCATTCAATTAAAAGATTAAGCATTATCTGCAGTTTCAGGCATCCAGTAAGAACATAACCCCTGTGGATAAGGGATATTACCTTACCTTAAAATTACGAACAGTATGTTGTACTGGGAGAATTAGAAATTACTTGTTGATTACAAATACAAACTTACTATTACACAAATATTGTCTTATAAGGTTATAAATCTCTTTTTTTCCACTAAATTTAATTGGTCCTGCCAGAATAGGTATACAGTGGGAAAGTACTTACTAGTGTAAGGCTGCCACGTCGCCAGAACAGTGTTTTTTGGCGAGAATTCAAGGCAAACTGCCTTTGGGAGGTCGAAGGAGTGCAGCAGTCCCTTGTTAGTGATACTGATGGTATTTACTCTGGTTCAAAAGAAACTACTTCAGTGATAAAATACCATTTTATAATATTTTTTAATAGCCAATACTAACCAAAACATTCACACCTCTTTTCAAATATGGATCACTTCAAAATGTTTCTTTATCATAAAAATCAATTTTTAGTTAGTTTAGGAAAATATCCAAAAACACCTTAACTTTAAAAACAAAAGGACATTTTACAAAAAAGACCCTATGGCAGGCTAATGTTTTAAAATAATAGAGTATTAGCAGAAAGATAAAAGATGATTCGATTTCTGAAAAAGAAACAAGTTCTATAAGTGAACACAAAGTAAGCTACAGACAAAAAGATGGATAAAAAAAGAAAAAGAAAAAGCTAAGCTACAGAGAAGCTGAGATATTCCAAACTAAGGGAAGGCAGAGAGGCAAGAACAGCAAAGTATATTGTCTTCATTTGAATAAGTGCAAACCAAAGCAGCTAGGAAGTCTGTAAGAAAACTCTGGATGTCTATTAACATCTCAAAAGCAATCTTCAAAAGGCATACAAATTATTATGGTACAATAATGACAAAAATGATGATGACCATATAATAAAAGCAGTTCCATATTTATCCTCTATAGTCTCATCAATTCTATTTTTAAAAATTTAAATTTAAGACTTAAAAAAAATTAGCAAAGCATGGTAGCATTTGCCTGTAATCTCAGCAGCTTGGAGGCTCTGAGGCAGGAGGATCAAGAGTTCAAAGCCAGCCTTAGCAAAAGCGAGGCACTAAGCAACTCATAAAGACCCTGTCTCTAAATGAAATATAAAATAGGTTATGGATGTAGTTAAGTAGTTAAGCACCCCTGGGTTCATTTCCCCAGTACAAAAAAATCGAACTAGTTTATGATTTGCCCAAGATCATACTACTGATAAACGCCAGGGCCAAGCTTCTGAATTCAGTTCGGGCTGACTTTTCTGTACGTGAACATTTTAGAGTTAAAAAAAAAAAAACAAAAAAAGATGTTCCATTTTATTCCAGACACTGCTAAAAGAAACTTTGTTTTACTCTAGTTTAAAGAGGACACCACGGTTAGGACAAGCACTAACTGATAGGAATCAAAGATTATAGCATACTGTTAATACACACACACACACCCTTGTAAATTACGTATTTTAAAATGACATGAGAATATGTAACAACAAATCTCACCAACAAATCTCACCATTATGTACAACTATCACACACCAATTAAAAATATGGAAAAAATAAGCATAAAAATGACATGAAGTTTTCTTGTTTTTTCTTTCTTTCTTTTTTTTTTTTTTTGGTACAGTGGGCACTTCCCCACTGAGTCACATGCCCAGTCCTTTTTTATATTTTATTAGAGACATTATGAACCACTATGGCCAAAACCACAGGAAATAAATGCCAGCATCTATGTACAAAGTTATCTATTAAGTGATGGACAGGACACTTAAAAAGGGATATGGGGATATATGGAAGACTGAAAGTTGAATCCAATAGACAGCTAAGTGAGAATATAAATGAAATATATAAAATCATTAACAATAATTGCCAGGGTGAAAATAGATATTCAATATAGTAAGCTAATAGAATAAAGGATAACGTTTTTAAAAAAAAAAAAAGACAATGAAAAGAAGTATATCTCACTAGGCAGTAAATATCTAATGACTCCAAATAGTATAAACTGAAACTATGGATAAAAAACAAAACTTAAATACTTAGGTCGAATAAAAAGATGTAAAATTTGAGAATATAACTGGGCACACCTTTAACCCCAGCAGCTCAAGAGGCTGAGGCAGGAGGATTTCGAGCAACTCAGTGAGATCCTGTCTCTAAATAAAATACAAAATAGAGCTGGAGATGTGGCTCAGTGGTTGAGTGCCCCTGAAGTTCAATCCCCAGTACAAAAACAAAAACAAAAACAAAAAACTGAGAACAAGATGTCCCCACTCCTACACTTTGAAGCTAAGATTAAGATTACGCATTAACATTGTGAATAAGACCAACCTTGTGATTTGGTGGTTTATGCACTACAGATTATACTAAATCTTCTTTTAAATAATTTATATGCTTTTATAATAGGACTAATAGTTACATTAACTGCAGTTAATTTAACAGCAAATAAGTTTATCTAAATCAAAGTTGTCTTACTACATCATGACATCAGAAGATGGACTTTATTAATGACACCTAAATACAAGTTATTCAAATCATGCCAGTTACATTTATACCCACGACACACATGGAATACCATGCCATGTAAATGAACACTGACTTGTCTCCGTTGCCCCAGGCAAATAAGGTTCCATCCTTGCTAAAGGCATAGACTTTGCAATTTTTCCCAGATTCCCTGAAAATAACAAAAACAGTTTAAATTAATAAGCTTTGATAGTTTTCAAAAAAATGTGATAAAAAAGGCTATAATCTGGGGCTGGGGCTCAGTGGCACAGTGCTTGCCTCGCTTGTGTGAGGCACTGGGTTAGATCCTCAGCACCACATAAAAATAAATAAAGATTCATGTATGTGTGTGTGTGTGTGTGTGTGTGTGTATGTGTGGTGTATGTGTGTGTGTGTGTATATATATATAGTTCAGAGCCTCTTATTTTTTAAAAAAAGACTATAATCTATTAATTTAATGATTTAAAAACTTACATTTTAGAAAATAAGAAAATAATTCCAAAAGGCTTTATTCTGCCAAAAAGCATTATCTCTGAGAATAATCACTGTTAAAGTAAGTTGGACATCAATTTTATACCAACGGGTGAATCTTGAAAGAAAAACAGAGCCCTTTGGGTGAACTGTTTGTGTGGGAACCCACAAAATGTAACTAAACATAAAAGTAGCCAGCTGTAAACCCTGATCTGAGAAGGCTAATTTCAACACACAGGCTGTGGACAATGTCCCAGACTACATAGCAAAACAATGGAGGACAGAACATCCTCAAGTGGCCCTGGGCTTAAAGGACAAAGGTCTTCCATTGACTCCTCCAGTACAGACACAGGCTATATAATAAGAGGATCTTCACATTTAACAAACGCAGCAGCATTCTGGACTGCATCTGTGGAAATCCGGTTACCTGGCAACATTCTATCAAGGAATCAAAACTGTAAGTACTGTTATCTCTCTACTTGAGACAGCCACTGTGAATACATCTCCTAAGTAAGACCCAAACTGAAATGTGCATTTGCGTACACTCAGGTGTCTATTGGCACAGTCACACTAGATAAGAAACTAATAAAACAAATGCACTGAGAACTGATGTATGCATCTTAACTGGACATTATCTTCAGAATGACTTATCAAGAAATGACATCTATGCTTCTGCAAACCAATAATGGTAGCTAATACCCAATTTACAGTTAGTGAAACATTTTTTTAAAGAGAGAGAGAGAATTTTTTAATATTTATTTTTTAGTTTTTGGTGGACACAACATCTTTTATTTTATTTTTATGTGGTGCTGAGGATCGAACCCAGCACCCCGCGTATGCCAGGCAAGCGCGCTACCGCTTAAGCCACATTCCCAGCCCTAATTAGTGAAACTTTAAAAACATTTCTCCCTCATAGACAGCTGTGAACAAGATGTCCCCACTCCTACACTTGTGCAACTCACTTCCAGACCTAAAGGCACAATTTTATATTGTCTTTATTAAATTCCTCACAGGTTTTGGTGTAATGTTCTACCCTACTAAAACTTACTTACATTTTGATTTGTTCTTTTAAAATATTAGTCATTTCTTACAAATCCATTTGAAGTATAAATTAGAGAACATCCTTTCTAAGTGATCATCTAAATTATTTATAAGAACATTGAATGAAGCCAGACACAGTGGTGCACACCCGTAATCCCAGCAACCTGGGAGGATGAGGCAGGAGGATCAAGGCCAACCTCAGCAACCCTGTCTCAAAATAAAAAATTAAGCCGGGCAGGCTGAGGCAGGAGGATTGTGTGTTCAAAGCCAGCCTCAGCCAAAGCAAGGCACTAAGCAATTCAGTGAGACCCTGTCTCTTAATAAAATGCAAAATAGGGCTGGGATGTGGCTCAGTGGTTAATTACATCTGGGTTCAATCTCTGGGACCAAAAAAAAAAAAAAAAGAACTTTCTATCATCAACTATTTGGTTATTCTGAAATATAGTTTGTACAGAAAAGGCAAGAGAAATGCCTGATTCCTTCCCTTTACCAATCTTCAAAGCAATAAGCAAGGACTCAATCAACCACTAATGCAATGAATAAGGTTTAGAAGGTTTTTTAAAAATTATTATTGATATACTTAACGTGTTTTATTCTTTTAGTTATAATTCTTAAGGCTCAAACTGTTCCATCTCAGGTTGGTGTTAAGCCCCTCCCTTCTAGATGACTCCTATGGCCCTGTCAAAGACCTCACTGGTCCTTGGCGGCTTCCTTACTTTCTGGCACAAGATGTTCCCACCTCACCTGTACATTTGCTGCTCTAGACCTAGAGCTGACCTGTCCCCCAAGGAACTGATTCCATTTAGTGAGGGGTGGTACCCAGAAAGCCACTGTCTGTGCACAGGGTCTTCACTGCTTCTTCTTCGTCTTTTTTTTTTTTTAATATTTTTTAATTGTTGAGAGACCTTTATTTTCATTTAATTGTATGTGGTGCTGAGAATCAAACCCAGTGCTTCACATATGCAAGCCAACTGCTCTATCACTGAGCCACAACCCCAGCCCATCTTCACTGCTTCTTGACTCTTTAGTGGAAAGAATACAAATGTTTTAAAAAAATCACAAGTTCATATGTACATATGCAACTCCCTCTCTTTACACTCACGCTAAAGATCTTGGTTCCTAGTAATATTAATATGATTATTCATTTACTTTATTCTATAATAGATTGAAATGACAATATTTAGGGGCTGGGGATGTGGCTCAGTTGGTAGACCCCTTGCCTAGCAAGTCTTGGGTTCAATCCTTAGCACCACAAAAAATTAAAAAAAATAAAAAACACTTCAAAAGACATGTATTTTCAGTTAACAATAAAATACTGACTGCATTTAAGAACTTTGCGAAATTTCACATGGTTATATCACCACCTTGACACAGAGCTAAGTTCATTTGTTTCAGTTTTCTACTTTATTTAACTTTATTATTTAAAACAATTACATGGTTAAAAGTCATAACTATATATACCAAAGTTCATTCACAGATACATCTCCCGCATCCTGTTACACTTTCTCCCAAGGAAACCATTTTAATTAGTTTTTGGTTTGTCCTTGCATTGCTTCTTTTGGGGCCAAATATATCTCTTTAGCTACATATTAGACATATATATTCTATTTTATTCCTTTTTTAATACCATTTTCATTCTCTTTAATTCATGAAGATTATTGGTAGCAGGTTGACTATCATAGTTGCCAGTTTTTCTCCTTCTCCAAGATAAAACTCTGGTTCCAAACTAAATTCAATGACACAGTGTCTGCACTTTTCCTTACTGTTATTTCCCCCTCTTCTAAACAGGTTTACACAATTACTTTCAAATCTAAAGATCATGTTACTTGATAAAGAATATATATTTTTTCCATCTCCTGTTAATATCACACAATATTTTCCAAGAAACTAGCTTATCCCTTCCCTTTCTCGTGGAAAATACATCAAACTACACAAACCCATTTACTATGTATTGTATACTCTGGTAACATCACTCAACAAAATAAAGCATACCTTGGGAACACTGTGCTTTCCGTGAAGTGCGGCGGCCCATTCACCATGTACAATCCTTCTGATCCTCGGACTAAAGAACATGAAAGAACCAACACATTACCCTTTGCTAATAAAGGGTAGATTATATTTGTAAATGTTTTTAAGAAGAAAAGTTTTCAAGATAGTAAGGAAATCATTAAACACTTAGCTGTACCAGAGAATGTTATCATTAAAAGGGTACACATCATGACATAAAGCCATCAATTCGGAGGCAGCAGGTGTGTAGCAGCTGGGTGCCTGTGGATGTGGCACTCTCTGAACCCCTGCCTCGTCTATAAAACAGAAACACTGGCATACAGCGGAGCTACATGCTTTATATAAAATAACATAAAATGCAGCACATGTTTAAAGTTCTTAGAACACAAACTATTGTTCATCTATTTGCAGTCCCCCAAACTAAGAACAAGTAGAATGAAACACACTCATTCACTAATCCCAATAACAGTAATATATAAAAAATTTAAATGGGAACAAAGTTCAAGAACAAATAAGCAAATAAAACATTTGGAGCACCAACTATTTTTCAAAAGGGCTGAATTGGATGCATCTAAAGCTGATTCAGATATACAGACTGATTCATTCAACAGATGTTTACTAGAAGGAAAACCCCTTCCCAGGCTCTGGGTTGAGTACCGGAGACAAGAGGGAGGAAAACCTGTCTCATGCCTGACTTCATTGAACTCAGCCTACAGTGAGCGAATGAGTACCACAGACTGAGAACTACAAAGGAAAACATATGGTATCAGAGGGCACGACAGGGAGCTCTGCCCCCAAACTAGAAGACAGGGAAAGTGTCCTTGAGCTAGTCCCCAGATGCTAGGAGCAGAAGGATGAACAGCAGTTAACAGGAAGGAGAACAAGGCCACATAAAGAACCCCCATGCCAGAGAAAGGGCAGTGCACCAGAGGAAGGGACAAAGGCCAGAGCGGCTGGAAGAAGTGGAAGCTGAAAACAGGGCTCAGGGCTCAGACCACAAAGAAGACTGAGCTCAGCAATGATGGTTTATCTTAAGAATGCTGGGGGCTGGGGCTGGGGCTGGGGCTCTGTGGTAGAGCACTTGCCTAGCACATGTGAGGCCCTGGGTTTGATCCTCAGCACCATACAAAAGTAAATAAATAAACTAAAGGCGTTCTGTCCATATACAACTATAAATAAATAAATGCTCAAGAGGTTTAGGTGGATCATTAAAATTGGATTTGCATTTTGAAAAGGTCAATCTAGTACACTGTAGAAAGTGAACAGGAAAGGATTAAGAGTGGACTGGACATGGGGAAACTATTTTAAATCTTCTGTTGAGTCCCACCGGAGATTAGGGAAACCCAGACCATGGTGGGACAGTACAGATGAAACCTCAGTATGCAATAGTTAGGAGAAAAAAACTAACAGAATTGGGAATGAGTTGGTATCTTTTCTAGAATTCTTGCTAGCAGCAACAGTATAAAAGCTGAAGAAAAGAAAGTTACCGAGTCCCTGGCGACCTTTACATCTAGCTATTCAGACATCTCCCAGCCTTCTCTGGGTTACTGGGAAAGCAGCAGAGTTACAGTTAGGGCCAGCCTTGGCTCCAGTTCTGATCCCTACTGCCTTCCCCTTCTGGAGAAGAGTCAAATCAAAGTTATTAGAATATTATATTCCCCCTAGTGATTAACTAGCTCAAATTTCAGGTATCCAATGGTCCCAAAGAACTACTAGTGAACAACAATAAACCCATGTCTTAACGGAGCTCCCAACTTAGTGGAGGGAGAGCATTGAACAAGGGCACCTCCTAGTACAGAGCTGGACTGTTGCATGTGTGGAACACCCTACTGAGAGGTGTTGGGAAACAACTGCCCCTGTGAGTTAGCATTAGAACAGGCCAGAGCCCAGCAAAGTGCTCTTCATATTTCAGAACCCAACTCCCGCCACCACAGTACCTTGTGTGACATGGCCCCTGCGTAAGCTGTACTATGTGCTGACCACTGGGGGTTAAAATAAGTAACAATCTGTCACTGCTTTCAAGAGACTAATTTAGAAAAAGTTTGGTCTCTTGTTACAATTTTAATTATACATTTAAGATATTTATTCTAAAATTCTCAAATGACATTTACAAAATTTCTTAGTACTACATACACATTCAAAATCTGAATGAGAATTTTGTCTAATAAATACTATTGCACCAGTCAAAATTTACAAAACATCTTGTGCCAGAAAATGTTTTCCTAAATTTAAAGACTATGAGCTGTTTTTTCTTCCTTCCTTCTATTTTTTAAATTCTAAAACATTAAAACTTTTAAACTTTTTTATTTTTAATTTTTTGGTGATACTGAGGATTGAACCCAGGGCCTTGCTCATGGTAAGCTAAGCACACTCTACCATTGAGATACATTCCCAGCCTAAAGTTTATTTCTTTAGCATTAAAATTTTCTCACCACATGAGCAAAGAAGTGCTATTTTTCATTATCAAATCAATCATCTGCTGCGATATTTCATGTGACACATTAGGATTTAGAAGAGAATAGGCCATTATTAATACTATAAGTGAAGTTCTAACAGACATTGGGGGAATTAACCAAAAGTGAATTTTTCAAATTTAGAAAGTTTATAATTATCAGATTACACCCTATTCCTATACTACATACAATTTTGCCAGCATAATGAGGGTCTTCTCATAAGTTGTAGTAAAATCTAACACGTTAAGAGAGCTCTCTCAAAATTAACACGTGGGTCCAGGATGCCTAAATGGCACATTGTCAGTGTAGTCCCAGTTAATTAGAAAATGCTGATGAGGGCTGGGGTTATGGCTCAGCAGTTGAGCACTTGCATAGCACATGCAAGGCCCTGGGTTCAATCCTCTGCACCACAGAAAAATAAATAAAATAAAGGTATTGTGTCCAACTACAACTAAAAAAATAAATATTAAAAAAAAAAAAGAAAATGCTGATGAAATCAAATTATGTTCTAAGGACCCTAACTACTGACACCAAGAACACAGGCCAGAACTGATGGGCAAAGAAGATAAAGCAAAAATCTTCTCCCCGGCTCATCTTGGCTTCCTGTGTTCTAGTGGTAATTGTAACTAGTAGTCATTTGATGATTTTGATGTTACATAATGTTTACTTGAGGGAAAATTCAAAGATCTTATCCATTACTAAAGTGGCATCTACACCCCAGATTTCATGAAGATTATCTTTCTGGCTATAGCAGCGGGAACTCTCAGGCTATTCAGGGCAACCAGTAGGTTTTCCTTTTCTAAAATTTGTTTTTCAGACCTATGTCCCAAACTAATACAGGGAGAAAAATCACAATGAAGTAATGAGAAAAACAAAAAACACTCACAATGACAACAAAAGTGACAATTTTCCTTGTAGAATAGTCACTCAAATCTTAGAAGGCACACATGACATTTTTAGTGCCAGTGTGGAGAGTGACATGTCCTTCCCATTCAAGAAACTAAATTTCATGGGGTCTTCAATTTTTGGTTTTGGTATGTTTCTGGAGACGAAAAATCCTAAGTCAAATTAATCAACTGCTTTTCAACATACATCCTAAATAAACGCAACTTTAAAAGCAAAAAATCCAAAGATTATGTTTCTATAATTGTATTTATACAACATCATGAAATGACAAAATTATCGTGACACAGGACAGAGCAACGACTGTTAGGCATTAATGCTGGAAGGACTTCACTATAAAAGGGCACCACAGGAATTTCTTGCTGGTGACAGAACAGTTCTATGTGGTGGGTGTATGAATTTATATATGATAAAATTTCTTAGTACTACACACACACTCAAAATCTGAATAAGAAATTTTGTTTAATAAATACTATTGTACCAGTCAAATTCCTAGGTTTAATAATTCACTACAGTTATACAGGTTATCACTGGAGAAAGCTGGGTAAAAAGTACATAGAACTCTACTGTTTTTTTAACTTCTCTGAGTCTTAAATTATATTCAAATTTTAAAAACTTTTAAAAAATGCAACATCATTTTGGTTATACTTTGTTTAAAGTACAGCCAAAAAAAAAAAAAAAGGAAACAAATCAAATGAAAGTTTTTCAACATTTCCCCAGAATGGTTTTGGTTGGAAATATTGGATAAAATTATAAAGTTAGAATCAAATATCAAAAAGACCAAGATTTTTGTACAAAGGTAAAAACATATTCTATGAGACAACAATACAAACCAAAGCTACTATGAAGTTGATGATCTATCAATGCCCATTAAACTAGGCATTCTTTGCACATAATATTTCACAGGAGAATTCAGAATAAAAATCACATTGGATTATTACAGTTTTGTTCATACATATAAACCACTTAAAACAACAGGTTTATTTCATATCTTGCTATATTGAAGCCTAATATTTTTGGACCTATAAGAAACTTTATTAGATTAAATAACCAGTTTGCATAATTTCCTTATAAAAATGTGAATAAATGGATACATAAATTTACTAGGAAAAACAAACTCAAGTTCATAAGAGAACATAAACTATTTTACAAATTAATAAAAGCAAAAATAAATATAGGTGCAAAACAAACTTTTT